AATAACCATATATACACCATTGCCAATATCTACGCTCCCAACCACTCTCCCAATAGGTTAACTAGACAGTTATGCTAAGGTAGAAAGAATAAGACAAGGGAGGATTATTTACTTAGGAGATTTCAATTGTATTCTCGATCCAGCACTTGATGGGGTTAGTTTGAAAGCCATAGGAAATTATATACCAGGGTCTCGTCTAGGGCCTTTAGTGATATCTTGAGGAGGAGCGGTATGTACGATCTATGGCGGATATGGCACCCTCAAGAAAGGGATTATACTTGCTTCTCTGGTTTTCACCAAGTCTATTCAAGATTACACTATTTTTTTAGCCGAAGCAGATACAACTAAAAGAGTAAAGAAAAGCTTTATTATTAACTTCCCATGGTCAGACCATAATGCGCTTATAATGCAAATCAAAGAGGATTTTACTAAAGATAGATCAAATAGGCGCTTGAATGAACGACTTCTTCGTCTGATTGAAGACGCTACCAATCTTTTTTTTTTTTTTAAAGGGAATGCTAGCAATGATATTTCCTCTCCTATGATGTGGTTTGCATATAAATGTACAGTAAGAGGATATTTAATTAAATTAGGATATCAGGAAAAAAAAAGAAACTCGATGAACTTAGCCAAATTGTATATAGAGTAAGACCGACTAGAGATAACCAATAAAGCTGACCTGTCAATTCAAATTTCTGATAAACTTAAGATTGTTCAAGAAAAAATTAACGACAGGCTGATTCAAAAAGCTAATTTCTACCTAGAGAATTTAAAACGGACATGGTATTATAAAGGGAACAAGGCAGACAAATTACTTAGCAGCAGATTAAAGAACGGAAAATCTAAGAAAGTAATTTCTAAAATAACGCAAGGAAATCAAAACATACTTGCTCCATCAGAAATAGGCCGGGTATTTCAGGAGTTTTATTCTAACTTATATAATTTACCAGAGCGGGATCATCCGGTAGATATGTCACGATTTTTCACCAAATATAAGGTTCCTAAGGTCTCCAAAGACCGATTAAATCAATTCAATAAGCCTATTTCCCAGATTGAGGTTAGTACCGCTATTAAAAAAACTCAAAGCAAATTAACCACTGTGTCTGGATGGCTTTAGTAATGGGTTTTTTAGACTAATGAAGGGGAACAAAATGGGAGCTCTGCTTAACATGTTTAATCACATTATGTCAACAGGTATTATTCCACATGAAATGTTAAAAGCACATATAGTACCTATCCCTAAGCAAAATAAGAATCTAGAACAGCTAGCAAATTATAGGCCCATTTCACTATTAAACACTAATAATAAATGTGACGGAACGCTGGCACTCCGACTGAGTACCTCCGCCAATCGATGCTCCTAGTGCTCGCTGAGGACTCCAAGCACTCCAACCGACACCATCAGCATTGCAGACCCCACTTCCAGCGATGCAACTGCGCCGGGGTCTCTGCTGTCTCCACCCACCCTGGACCCAAGGCCAGGATCCAGCTTCCAGTGGGTGAACCTCTCTTTCCCCAGAGAGCAGGAACAGGAACAAGCTCTTAGCAGAACTTAGTGATCATACCCTGGGGAGTATAGTGATTATGGCAATCCCCAGAGTGTATTTCTCCAATCCCCCAAACATGAGCCAAGGCTTAATGCTGGAACAAGACTGATTTACTGGCACACAGAACTCACAATTTATGCAACACAAAACTCCTCCTCTGGGCCAGGCTAGATAATTGAGTTTCTACAATACACAAAGCTCAATTATCTGCTGGCCAGAAACATTACAATTTCATAAAACACACAGGGACCCCAAAACATGCAATAACCCCATAAAATGTATATCCTTGGAACCGGGGGATCTGGTTGAACCACAAATCCAAAATTCACCCAGATCCGTTCAGTACTTTGGAAAATACAGTTTAATGCAGATTCTGCAGAACATATACAGGCTAAATGAAAAACAATCACTGTATAATGTGTCCCCTGCTGTATAGTCCAAAACCACCGCACGATGTCTCTGTGCCACAAATACTGGCGAGATGGCACTGTGTTGAAAAGTCCACACAGTGTCTGTGAGTTAAAATGGCCGCCATCCATTGTTCTCACCATGTGCTTCTGATACAGGAAATGGTGGCCACCCAGTAACTCCACAGTATGTCCCAGATGGTTCTTAAAGGGCCAGCAGCAGCACAACACAAATCCATTATGCCCAAATCATGTCTTTAAAGGGCAATACATCCCAGGGGCCATAGTCACAGGGCAAGAGGCGGGCAAGCAGTCCTCTCCAGGCACAAGTGGCGAAGGGCACTTCGTCACAATAAACATTATACCTACAATCATACATGGGAATTGTAGCGGAGAGGTAGTATAATCAACAGTATCTCCGCTGGGTAACAGGAACAGCATAAAATAATCCAAGGAAATAAATACAGCATACAAGAACTAGACGACACATAGTCAACTGAGCTTTTAATCACAGGTCACTGTATTTATGGGATTCCCTACTGACATTTCAGGGGTGGTACAGTAGGGGACTACATGGGGAACTGACCAACACATACATTTCTCCCATCATGCACTGCTGGACGAGAGGGATACTCCCACTGGAATATACCGTTAGGGGATTATCCCTCCGTGCAGCAGAACTTATATTTTACATTAAAATACATAACTTTCTTGATATTCACTGTATTTAAACGAATGGGCGTTTGGTAGATAGCTGGAGGCTGAGCGCACAGTTCGTGAGAATACCGCTCAGCTCCCAGTTTAACTAACTGAACGCCGCACGGAATACACATTATTTCCAACACACTGTTAATATAGCGATTGATATTAGGGGAATAAACTACCGAACGCCCGGGGCTCCCGAACGGCCTGGAAGTCCCGCGGTGTTCACATCGTCGAGTAGCCGATTTTAGTTCCATGCGCTCGACGGCCAAACACCGCTGGGCTTAACAAAGGATCCAAGATGGCTGACCGCCGCGTTGTCGGTAGCCGAACGACGGCCACCTAGGGAAGCCTTTAACTACCGATTGCAACAATGTTGCAATCGGTTAATGGGCCCCACACAACCTCTTGTGTGTGGTCGACCATTCGGTATTTTATTTGTTTCACGAACAGTGTTGAAACTCACTGTTCGTGAAACTACATTAGGAATGCTGGGTTATTCATACTGCAAGCATACGAACGCCCTCATTCGTCTGAAAGACACATACAGTAATACACTTGGTTCTCACAGCTGAAACAGGGATATAAACACATTCAATATATGGATAGTCTTAAGTGGCTAGTTTTGCCAAAGGGATCAAACTGGATTTGTGTCAAGTAGGTTTCCAATGATAATATCCAGTGGCTATTTTGGATCTGGCACACAAAAAGAGTTTGCCCCTCCTGGCCCTCTCGTTAGATGCCGAGAAGGCCTTTGACAGGGTCAGGTGGGATTTTTTTAGACGTAGCTCTAGAGGCATTTGGCAAACATGGAGATATTAAAGTCTCTATAATGGCTTTATATACTTCCCCAGCAGCAAAGGTGGTTGGTAGCGGGTTTTCCTCTGAGTGGTTCCAACTAAAAAATGGGACCAGACAGGGATGCCTGCTTTCACCACTTTTATATCTAATTGCCATTGAACCTCTGGCTGTAGCAATAAGAGCTAATGATCAAATCAAAGGGTTGCATGCTATAGATGACTGCGTTAAGTTGATTATGTATGCAGATGACTTGGTACTCACACTTAGTGACCCGATGAATCCCATGAGGGAACTGATACCTTTGATGAGGAGGAATTCTCTATTCTTTCCGGTTATAAACTAAATTTCGACAAATCTGTCATACTGCCTCTCAATCTGCCTCGGGATGTTGTTGAAGGCCTAACACGGGTTTATGGTTTCAGTGTCAGGGAACCTTCAGTGCAAGGTGGAAATCACTTGTGACCCCTCTAAAATAATAGAACTCAACTTCCTACCATTGTTAAAAGAAACATGCAGGAATATGAAGTAATGGAGGAATATTGAGATTTCATGGTGGGGGAGAATAAATACGGTGAGATCTTTTCTCTTCCTCAAATGGATTTACTTGTTCTTTTGGCCTGCCCAGACAGTTGGATTACCCTTGCACAGTCCCAAATAAAAAATTTATATGGGCAGGGAAACGCCTACGAATAATGCCAACCGTTTAGCGCTAAAGGTCAAATTGGGAGGCTTAGGGGTACCCCTTCTAAGAGAATACCAAAAATGCATGTAACTTGGCACTTGTCTTTATTACTCAAGGAGAAAAGGCCAAAGAACAAATGTTATAAAATCAAATAGTCCCTGACCCAGACAGAGCACCATAATTTGGACCTGAGTGCTTTATTTTGTCAAATAAAGAATATGCAGAAAAACCTTCTTTTAGTGAAATCTGGAAGTTTGATTTTAGATAATATAATGAGGCACTGGGAGAAATGCAAAAAAAGATTTATCAATTCAAAATAAAATAATTGCTTGTCTTCCTATAACCTATTTATCCTATAAATCTAAATCTAAAAAATTGGACAAAATCTGGCCTCTTGAGAATAAGCGACTTAATGAACGATAATAACTTGAAGGATTTTCACCTGTTGTGTGCTGAATATAAGTTAGATAATAAAGAAAAAAATAAGAGGGATGGAACAGCGCTATCCAAACTGATCACAACGGGGAGGGGGAGGCTGCACACCTGAAAGGAAGGGTAACCCTCAAAGCTCTTCAAAGTATTTAAAATAGTCAGAAAAAATACTTTTATTTAGATTAAAACACAACGCGTTTCGCCACAAAAGGCTTCTTCAAGTGTACTTTAATCTAAATAAATATTTTTTCTGACTATTTTAAATACTTTTATATTTATCCTTATTTTTTTAAATTTTTTTTTATTCTTTATTTTTGCTGTGCGTGAAATAACATTCGTATGTCAACAATGCATTTGCAAACAGTTGAAGAAAAAAAAAACAAAAAAACACATATTCGTTAACTGCTGTACAGCATTCAGGTTGTATGCACAATTTTTGGTTAGTAATACAGGCTAGGTACAAGCTGGGTAACTATGTTTGTCATAAGGAATTATTTTGTCGATTAATAACAGTAGTTTAAAAATAGTGTTTATATAGAGTGTCGTCGCTTAATTAGCAAGATATATTCTGTCTCACTGTGGAGTCACTATGTTAAACTTAAGTGTGTGTATAGTCACTTTTATGAGGTTAGTAGTTTAGTTAGGGTGCAAATACAATGAGAGAGTAGAATGGCATGTAATGAACACATTAAGCTTAACCGTCTGTGTGTAGTCGCGGTCATTTGGGTAAGCAGGTCAAACACTAAGCGTGAAGTCCTGAGACTAGCCCATCTGGATCGTGTTAGTTTATTTGGGCTTCTCGTTGTGTGTGCCCAGCAAGCGCGCGTCCCAGCGCCATCGTGAAACAAGGCTGGTATCTCTAGGTGCAGTCCCTGGGTTCCCAGACTGTAGTGTCAGTCTACTTCGGTGTTTGGTAGGCGCCTCTGGTGCCCCAGTGGCGTCCTCCTGCGCCGTTTCGTTGGTCTGTGGCGGTGGTTATGGTGGCCTAGGTCCAGGCTGGATTATATAGGTTGTTTCTGGTTGGGTGGAGGGTGAGTGGCTTGTTGTTTCTGTCCCTCTGGCTTGTTTCAGGTAGTTCTAGGCTCTGTTGGTCTCTGGGGGAATGCTTTATAAGGTTTGGTCAGTGGGGTTCCGCTTTGTGTATGCCCCATTTCTCCCTGCTTGACTGATGCCCCTGGCATGTACCTTGATTTGCCCAGTGTAGTTCACCAGCATAGCCTTGGGACGGGCTGCCATGGTGGTCTGATGGTGCTGGGTGTGTTTCTCCTCAAGCAGTTCTATCTTCCAGGCCTTTTGCGCACATGGCTGGCGGCGGCCATCTTGTGGAGCTTTGCCCAGTGGATTTCTCTCGCCGGGGCGGTTGTTTGGGCTCAGCTTAGGGTGGTGTGTGGTGCCCTTGCAGACCGGGATGACCCCCCCGGTCCAGAGGGGGGGGGGGAGCGACACGTCGGCCGGAGACCCGGGAGAGCGGCCGTCTCGTCCCGGCTCAAGCTCCAGCGAGAACTGGGCCCTTGTCGGGTTTCTGTAGGTGCCGAGTAGGGTCTTGGGCTTTATCCCCTACTCCTGTGTTTGGGGGTCGGAGTAGTCACCGTTGTGGCGCTAAGTTTGCGGTTGGCCCCCCAGTTTGCTCCGATTTTCAGGCCCTGGAGCGGGAGCTCAGACAGAGCACGTCTGATCCCGTCGGCGGTCAAGCCCCGCCCCTTATCCTTATTTTTTTACCTGGCATAACCTAAACATCTGAAGCTTTTATACCATCCAAAGAATCCATGGTGGGGATCGTACCACCCAGGCGCTTTACACAGAGCGGTTCGTCTGCTCTGTAAATTGTAAGTACATCTCTTATTTTATCCAGCACTTTTTTTAATATAGAGAACACTATGGGCCTTCTCCTGTGTTTTTATTTCATATAACCTGCACTGAAAATTTAGTGAGAGGAATATCCTAC